CATTTGGATCTGATAACGAAGACTCTAATGCAAACAGAAAATTAACATATTTTTAATTAATGTGTAGATGCGTAAACATAAAGGCGTTTAAGTGAGAAAGAATTGAAAAACAATAATATTAAAGATAATATATAATAGAAAGCTCTATATGTATAAAAGACGTATGAAGTGATTTTGACGATGTCACATAACGTAATCTATATATACGTATCTATTACGTTATGTGACATCGTCGAAATTATTTGCTCGGTAACACTTCGATTGCTAACTTGCTCACATTTCTAAATGTAATCATTTTATTACTACGTTGATGATTTCAACTATCTGTTTTCTTTTGTATTATTTATAAATTTTCAACATTTTATCTAGTAAAACTATGTCTGTTTCTTATTCAAGGACTTTAAACATTTCACCACTTTGACTATTTCAATTTATGTACTCGAAACAGTAAAGGATATGAGGACTGCGTTACCGAATATTTTATAGATTTCAAATAGTTTCATAATTATAATGTACTGTAACATTGATAATGACCCGAGCAGCGTCAAAACGTTTGTTGTAATTTCTTTATTATTTTGAATTAAAGTTTCTTTGTTACACATCTGGCTGTTAGCCCTTCATTTGTAATAATATTAAAGGACATACCTTGCAAGGATGTTGTCTTTTATCGTTGTGCTTCGAGTCCACATGATAACTAAGTATCATTTAGTATGGGAATTCTTTTCACATTCATTAGATTTGTAATAACGTTAATTATTTTAATGAAACACAAATTTGTGCTGTTTTAGAGATCGAATATGTCTATAAAGTTACCATTACAATATATCATTTGTTGCAACATATTTTTATATATAGGACAATATTACCAAATAATTCCGTTTATCCTTGATATTCAAGGATGTACCCACCTAAACATATCTCCACAAAACTCACAATGATAAGGTTTTTCGCCTATATGTGTTATCTCATGAATATGCAAATGCGCTTTGTTTTTAAACTCTTTATTACACATTCCGCATTTGTATGATACACCTCCAGTGTATAGATCCTTATTAGACTTGAGATGTTCATCATTGCTATGCTTTGTTTTCACGTGTTTTCTTAGGTTCTCTTTTAGACTGCAATGCGACCGAAAAATAATTTTTTTTTTTACCAGTTACTTATTCATGGTATCGTGTGCGTGCGTGCATGATTTACCAAATTATTTTCTTAACTCTTGTTGTTGACTTAAATACTCACCTACATTTATGTTCACAAAATTCGCATTGATAAGGTTTTTCGCCTGTATGAGATCTTTCGTGTCTATGCAAATGCGGTTTGTTTTTAAACATTTTATTACACATTCCGCATTTGTATAATACACCTCCAGTGTTTAGATCCTTATTAGACTTGAGATGTTCATCAATGCTATGCTTTGTTTTCACGTGTTTTCTTAGGTTCTCTTTTAGACTGCAATGCGACCAAAAAATAATTATTTTTTTACCAGTTAACTTATTCATGGTATCGTGTGCGTGCGTGCCTGCGGGTGTGTGTGTGTGTGTGTGTGTGTGTGTGTGTGTGTGTGTTTTACCAAATTATTTTCTTAACTCTTGTTGTTGACTTAAATACTCACCTACATTTATGTTCACAAAATTCGCATTGATAAGGTTTTTCGCCTGTATGAGATTTTTTATGTCTATGCAAATGCGATTTGCACTTAAACTCTTTATTACACGTTGCGCATTTGTATAATACACCTCCAATATATAGATCCTTATTAGACTTGTAAGCATCATCATTGTTATGCTTTGCCACCACATGTTGGGTTAGGGATCCTTTCAGGCTGCGAAACGTCCGGTGAAATATTTATTAGTTTTACCAGTTAATTTAATCATTGATAATGAATTACCAAAACATTTTCCTATAATTCTTGTGATTCACTTAAATACTCACGTAAATTTATTTTTACAAAATGCACATTGATAAGGTTTTTCGCCTGTATGAATTCTTTGATGTCTATTCAAATGCGTTATGTACTTAAACTCTTTATTACACGTCCCGCATTTGTATGATACACCTCCAATATATAGATCCTTATTAGACTTGAAACGTTCATCATTGTTATGCTTTGCTACCATGTGTTCTTTTAGGTTTCCTTTAGTTCTGCGAAACGACCGTTAAAATATTTATTATTTTTACCAATTAATTTAATCATTGATATAGAAGAACCAAAGTATTATCCTAACTGTTGTTGTTCACTGAAATACTCACCTAGATTTATATTTACAAAATTCGCATTGATAAGGTTTTTCGCCTGTATGAATTCTTTGATGTCTGTTCAAATGCGTTGTGTACTTAAACTCTTTATTACACGTCCCGCATTTGTATGATACACCTCCAATATATAGATCCTTATTAGACTTGAAACGTTCATCATTGTTATGCTTTGCTACCATGTGTTCTTTTAGGTTTCCTTTAGTTCTGCGAAACGGCCGTTAAAATATTTATTATTTTTACCAGTTAATTTAATCATTGATATTGAATAACCAAAGTATTGTCCTAACTGTTGTTGTTCACTGAAATACTCACCTAGATTTATATTTACAAAATTCGCATTGATAAGGTTTTTCTCCTGTATGAATTGTCGCATGATGATACAAATTGGATTTTGATGAAAACTCTTTATCACATGTTTTGCATACGTGTGGTCTAATTTCAATAAGTATGTCTCTATTATTTCCATTTGAAGTTGTCGAGGAGTCAGTTCGCTTAACTTAATATTAGCAGTTGTTATGAAATAAGCATGAAAACAATAACATAATTCTCATAACTTATAAAATACTCAAATTAGAAGAATAATAAGGCTAATGAGAGCTTTTTCGCTGTAATTAGTGCGATCATATATAAGATATGTTAAAGTGTGAATATTATATACTACGTAAGTAGTTCTCCCCCATTGCGCGCCAAACATCCGTCGAACTTAAAACGCAAATCTAATCAACTACCGTAGTAATATCACAATTTTTGATGCTGATAGCATCTAAAAATGGATCTTAATAATATGTTGAAAGACATATATTAAATTCTTAAATTATAATATTAAAGTAGAAATAAATTTAAATCTAAGAAAAATAAGAATTGTGAAGAATATCACGAGTTGGCGTTTCATCCCGGCTTCCACTACTAGACTCATCAGTAAGATAATGTAGTGCGAGCCTACCTTAGACGCCTGGGTGAGATGTTAGAAAAAAGTTTTATATAAACAAATAATCATGTAATTCGGCACTTGCGAGAATTAACACGATTAACTATAGACCTCTGTTGGCAAGTCGACGTAGAGATATTCTTCACAAAGTTCTTTCTTTAAATAATAATGGGGGGGAACTACTTACGTAGTATATAATATTCACACTTTAACATATCTTATATATGATCGCACTAATAACAGCGAAAAGGCTCTCATTAGCCTTATTATTCTTGTTATTTGAAACTTTCGAGAGTTTTCTTTAATTTATTTATAAAATACTCTACTCAACAAAATTAAACTTGCGAGAACAGGTAAACTTCGAAAAAGAATAATTTCGCAAAAGGTCATCCGACCGAAATGTTTAAAAAACCATTTTAAATCATGTAATCACTTATACCTTTCACACCGTCACTTCAATAAGTCTTGCTCATATTTCACGAAGTTACAGTATCATAAATGACTGTTCACCAAATCTTAAAGTTTTACACGAAATTTTTGAAGTTGCACGATGCGAAATGATAATTATGCACAAATGGATTTCATGGCTTCCGAAAGATAGAATCGTTTTTTGTATGTAATTTTCCTTTTTGTCGACCTCTGTACGATTTTTTTCACCGAATTATTCGACGTTGCAGCAAAATGTTCATTTTTACATCAACGTATAATAATTCAGAGAATGAAAAAATAGTACAGAGCACGAAGGAAAGGAAATTTAGATACCAAGATTTATCCTTTCAGTTGCTTCTTTTTATTTTTGCATGATGTATTATTTAATGTATTAATTTTGTTGATCAAATTTTAATGCACAAAGGTATTAATAAAACTAAGAATGATAATTAGAGACTATAATGTAATTCTTACCGCGCTTTTGTTGGTGATGGTGTTCATCTTCTTTTGTGTCGTTATTCTTCATTTTGATTAATCTTTTTTTAGAATCAACTCTCTGATCCATCAGAGATATTTTTCAATTCACTTTACTACAATGTTCTTTATATTACTTTCGTAGTTTACACGTTCTAAATATATTCATACACTTTTATTATTTCATACTTTTCTAAATTATAAAAAATCCTAAAAAACAGTAATAATTTCAAGTACAATAAAATCATAATAAACTGTCACAGCTATCACGAAAAGTAATAAGGAAGTAACAGAAAGCTGTGTCAAATAGAATTAGTTATAAATACTTAATGTTAGTTATAAATATTTAAAATTATAAAGTTACCTCTCTGAGATTGGATAGTTGTTAGATTTATGTAATAACTTTTACTTTTTAACGATTAAAAAACTTTTATTCAAAAATTAGGATTTAGATGAATAGATCGAGACCAAAAATAATACGTTTGAATTTGAAATTGTTTGCTGACAAATATAAGCACATTAAAATGAACATCTTGGGAACGACTGAGTCAAGGCTTGATGTGTGTATCTTTTATACGCGTACATATACATACCTGTATACGTATGTACATATGTACATATTGGTGATTCTCTTATGTGGATCGACATGACATTTTGTACTTATTGTCTCCGAAATCGTGTATACTTCCCAAAAATGTTCTTTAGGAAAGTTCAAACAAATCATGTTTTCTGTTTTTTTTTAAAGCAGACAATAGAATCGTGGTATTAATTGAAATTACAAAACATAGAAAAAGTGATTTTAGTACAACAGTTACACAGTTTGCTTTAAGGAAACGTAAAAAGTACGGTCGAAATATTTCACTAAAAAACACATTAGCGGATTATAAATAATATCGAAGACAAAATGGTATGCCGATTTCGTAATGAATCTACGTGCGCGCGCATACACAAGTCAATGCATCCATTTTACAAAGTTCATACGAATTTTTATTTTAATTGATGTAAATAACATATTAGAAGGTTAATACAAATAAAAGCGAATTTTTTTATTATTTTCTAAGTCCTGTAAAATGTATTTGATACTGAAATAATGGATACATTTAAATTAAGGGGTTATACTACCTTGGCGCGCTGAAAAATGAATCGTTTTTTGGGAATATTTTTCTCGGTTACTAACGAATGGATTTAAATGAAATTTTGAGGCATGATTAAACATATATTGAAGTGCACACACAAATTTTTTTGTCAATTTATTTTACAAAATGGCGCCGTGGCACTATCATAGTCAAAATTGTGTTTTTTTCGTAACAACAAACGGCGTTGTCTGTTTTAGCACTTCTATGACATCTAGAACAAAAATCCAAAATTTTTCTTAAAATATGTTACTTCTACTTTGGAAGTACACATGATTTTGTTGTTTTATTGAAAATTCGCAAATTGGCATCAATTTTAATGTATGTTATCGTTTTTTGGGGTAAAAATCGACCTTTCAACCTTTCAATTTTAAATACAAAATACGTAATACTTTCATGTGCATCGCTGAAATATAAAATACAAAATCTACTTTTATTGCGAGAAAACTGTAGTATAAATGAAAGTATTTTAAATACATGCCCAGTCCTTCTGATACTTATATATAAACATTGATAAGTGTAATTAATTAATTATACAGTATCATTATATAGTATGGTTTATTTTAATCAATCTACTAGAATATATAAAAAAAAATCCTTAAGACAAAAATATTACATGATGTCATTTAATTCTGTCAAGTTATCTTTTGGTAAGTATCTATCAGATATCGAAGAAGAGTACAAATATATAATGCTTACAGTGGTAAACACACGAGTACTTATTTATAAGATCGTACAGATGCAATAATATCACTCAATATTTAATCCCTTCGTGGATTCGATTATGATATACCCTCGCATTCAATTTCCCCCAATGATGGAAAACTGTTTTTTGTACATGTAAATTACCGGAAGCGCACTCGGAAGAAGCGAAGATTCATAAAATGGACTAACAAATATGTTTATGAAAATTAAATACTTCCAACGATTTCATTTATTCTTAGTCAAAAGTTTTTTTTTTCACGTTTCATCCTTGCAATGTCGTTTCTAATTAAAATATCGAAGTTAGCTTGAGCCCTACAAAGAAAATCACGATATTTTCATAAACTTTGTATACATGACGAACATAAAAGTACAGCTCCTAATTGCTGATGTCTCAACACTGAAACGAAATGTCACTGTAACTGCAAAAATGAATGAACGTTATTTAGTACAATGTGTAGCTTTAATTTCAGGAAAATCATATCGTCTATAATACGCTTGAATGTACTACATTAAATCAGGCGAAGACGTAAGTGAAAGTATTAATTATTATACATTTAAGTAATTTAAAAGAATAAGCAGTGAGAGCTGGTATGTTTCGTACATTAAATGCTTTATCAATATTACAAGTCAATCCCTATAGGTGCAAAATAATCCTTGATTGACACATAAACATATAATTAACTCTTAAAATAAGAGTTTTCAAATTAATATAAATTATTACGGTGATAATTTATATTTCTCAACATTGTGAGACTATTCTATGGATGTTGTACATTCACGTCCATTTACGTAATATCCTTCGTATTTTTTCCTTAACATCGCCAAAATATAATAACGTGTGCAATTTGTATATTATATACAATAAAATAATAATAAATGTTTTAACAGTCAATGTTGCTAAAATGACTTTTGACGTCCGTATTTTATTATATTCTACCATATTCAAATAATAAAAACTTATAATATTAACGTGCTTAGGCCTGATTGCACCAACGTGATTTCGATTTTAAGCGAAACTTAAACTGTCTCTGTCTCTGTCTCCCTTTCGGCTTTAAAACGAGGTAGATAGAGTTATAAGTCTCGCTTAAAATCAAGAAGTGTTGGTGCAACCAGGCCTTAGACATACAATCATCCATTAATAATGCAAAAATTTATCATTATAAAATTTTAGCGAATAAAATTTCTCCTAGGATACAACTGAATTTCTAAAATATGTGTAATATGTCCTGAATACACGATATGCTTCGAAATCGATTGACTTTTAGATCAATTGACGTCATAGTATGTAAATTTTTTTTCTAAATAAATCTTTGAGAAAAGTTTGATTTCTTTGACGAAGCGTTGATAAAATATCGTTTTTCTTTACAAAGTTATAGAGAATATGCTCAGTATAATATTAGAAAGGGATGATGAAGCAATACTGATTTGATTCCGTCTCCATAGCTAAATCTTACTTCTAAGAAATAATATGCGCTCCTAAGGATGCTACTTATACGACTAAGTATATAAA